TTACACCAAAAAATGTATTTGATTTTGTCAAAAACCAATTGGTCTTGGGTAAAAATTCCAATTTTTCTTTCTTCCCCCGATTTTCAAATTTGACCTCTTCATTGCACCAACTAGATTCACTTTGCCACAAGAGAAGATACTGAAGTTGAAAATCAAAGCATTATTTCGGCTATTTATCATATATACACTAGTCACTACACAGTAGGTACACGTACATCATTGTAAAACCAATAAGTACATTCATCGGCTCACCGCTCAGCTCAAAATCCAAGATCAGAATGCACTATTAAATGTCAAAATGGAGCCGAGTATGCTTAAAAAATCACCTTGTAATAGTTGTAAGCCAATCGGTAAGTGGTTTACTGGTTAGTACCTACCTTGTATTAAATGTAGCCTATTTTATGCCTATTCTGTGCCGTGGACTCGATGTGGTGGCGCTTCGTGGCAATCGATTGACCAGATCGTTTACTGCAGTGTGACCGCAAGTAAAAAAATACTAATTATATAGCAGCCGCCAATAACTATTATTATTACGATTAATAATATGTATCAAATTGCATAGAATACATTATACACTAATTTACCATGTAATTTACAACGAATAAGCACGATTATGATAGATATTTATATAATCGTGCACTATAGAGTTTAGGCATGGGCATGCATGTTAGGAATTTAGGATGTCGATGGACGATGAGTGATGTCGTGATCATAAATATATACAAAAAACTAGATAGCCGTCTTCTTCTTGTCATCGAAGTCGGCCGCCATTAACAAAGTAGGCAATGTTTACAAAATAATATTATCACAGTATATATGTACCTATATAGATAAATATATATGCATATTGCATATAAATCAATGTAAAATAAATGTAAACATTGCCTGCTTTATAAATGGCGGCCGATTTCAACATTGGTCACAACTGTAGTATAAAGACGGCTATCTATTTGTTGTATATATCTATGGTCGTGATAACTGATGACTAAATATTATGTTTATGAGTTCATGACTATAATCAGTGGTGTGGTGAAGGGGGTCTAGAGGAGCAACCGCTCCCCCAAATTTTGGGTGGGTGGGTGGGTATAGGATAATGGGTATTAATATTTAGCATACATATGTACATAATATACTATAGAATTAATAAAGTACTAATGTAAAACAAGGGTGGCAATAGTGGGTACCGCTCTGCTGTTCATTAGATGTCAAATGGGTAATTTTAATGGATGTGTTAAATTTCAAATCAATGATATAAAATCATTGTACACGAAAACCGAAACTGAGCGAAGATGGTCTGCCTATAATTATTAATATAAGTATATTTTATAATATTGCTATTAAAGTAATTTATACTGACAAGTGATAGTATGTTAAATTTACTTTGTCTAAAACATTTAATTTGTTGTACTTTAAAAGTTTTATGTACCTATACGAATAATATTTTTAAATTACAAAAAAATAACTAAAAACGTTATTTTTCGTTTATTTACATATCTAATTTTGATCAAATTTGAACTTAAAATGTTTTTAAAAAAAACTGTGTGAATATATTTTTAGAGATTTGGGTTACAATATCAACTACTTATGAATAACTATGTTTTAATTTTTCAATCTTTAACTGAACAAATTATCATTTTATACATTTTTAACTACAATAGAATTTACAATTTTTCGACATTTCTTTTCATCACTTACATTTGAAAATGTTTTATTCATTTTTAACTGAAAAGTAATTTGCAAATTTTCGAGACTGATGAATTTCGTAAGACAAATTATGAATCTATAGATTATTTATAAGGTTATTATTTCATTATTAATCGATTTTGCTGAAAATTGGCTTTGCGTAAAAATTCTCATTTTAGATTCCGAGTGGAGCGATGAATATGTATTGATTTTAGATTGATGTGTGTGTTTTTTTTTTCAAATTTTAAATCTTTTTTTTGTATTTGTCATCAGTGATCACCCTTTAGGACAGTAAAAATGCTTAGATTTTCTTTTCAACAGTACCTTTTCGAAAGAGCAAGGAAAAAGAAAAGAACAATTAAGGTAAACGTGAATAGATTTTGGTTTTTGGTATAACTCTAATACAAATTACCGTAGATACATGAGATATATACATAGATGCTATTTCCACTGGTTGTTTATATTATCATTAAATTATTATACACGATAAAATTTTCAAAAAATATTGATTTGTTTTGAACTGTTTTTGAACGGACATTTCAGTTTCCAATTTTTATAGTTTTTTTTTTTCTATGAATGTCAATAAAATTGTATTTGTTGGGAAAAAACACTTTTTAAAAAAATTTAATACAATACAATACTCTTAATAGATTGTTACAATGACATTTGTAAAATATTAAAAATCCATAGTCCCAATTTTTATTTATAAGCATTTAAAGTTTGAATTTTGTCAAAAGGCGTAAAAATCACGAAAATGTGCAAATTATTTTGAGTTAAAATTTTCTTTTTAAGTCTAAGATTTTAAAATGTAATACAAGATTCCTCATAAGTTTGCCTACCTTTATCAAAAAAAAAGTCTACAAGCAAATCAATTTAAGTTTTTATGAGCGTTTGAAGTTTATATTTTTTACATCATTGAATATTCACTCTACTTCTCATGTATGTAGCGATTTTATTTTATTGTAATTCAAAAACGAACTACCGTAGATTCTTGAAATTTAGATCATATGTTTATTTTATGAATTCCTTTAATTGATAAAATTTACAAAAATGTTGACCCTTTTTTGAGATGTTTACGGGCAATTTATTTATTTTTTTTATATATAAAATTTAACAAAATTTTATTTGTCCGGCCAAAATGCGTCAGCATTAATTATTACAAGGCTCCTGATATATTGCTCAAATAGCAGTGTAAAAATACATTGGCACAATTTTTTTTTATAAGCATTTAAAGTTTGATTTTAGACAACATTTATTAAATTTTAAATTTTAAAAAAAGTTTTTGTAGTATAAATGTATAAAATGTTCAACTTTTATAGCTAAGGATTGAAAACTTAAAACAACGTTTCTCGTAAGTAGGTTATTCTGTAATTAAAAAAATTCTAAAAATATAAAACTATAGTTATTTTATGTTCAAATTTTGAGGAAATTACATATTAAATAACCAAGAATAACGATTGTAGTTATTTTGTTGTAATGTTTTAATATTAATTCAACTTACCGGCTACCATTTTAATAATAACTAATAACAATAATATAAATATAATATAAAATATCCACACAGACAATTGACAAACCATCACCGCTCAGAATCGTTTTTCGTAAACAATGATATTATTATATCATTGAATTAAAATTTAATACCATCCATCATACAGTGTCCCTCTTGTAACCTACTGTACAGCAGAGCGACATCCATCTACCCATCTTTTTTTCTTAATTTTTTTTAGTTTTTACCACGTTTTTGAAAATTACTAGGAATTACAAAAAAATGCTGAAGTAGAAAATTTGGATACCAACATTATTTTGCTCCGCTCAGAATATTAAAAAATAATTACTTAAATAAGAAAATAATCTAGAAGCTACTAAAAAATATGTGTGATTAACTTCATGCGTTTTAAGAAATGTACTGTATTTTTTTTTTTACGTATTTTTTTGTATGTCTTATAAAATATTGGGTGAGTGGATGGGTAGAATAAAATCTTTGCTCCTTGTGTGAAAATCGTTCGCCAAGCCACTGACTATAATAGTCTGTAGAAATTAGCATCACAGTTCATACATATATGTATATTGTATATTTTGATCTAAGCAGTAAGTAATAAGCACGAACTAAGATATCTCTAAATATAAAACTATACCTATGTAAAGAAAATGTTAGTTCGTGGCAATAAGGATTATAGCGGTACCGTGTACACAATTCATGAACTACGGATATTACCAATAGATTAGGTTATTAGGTAGTTATTACTATATGATATAAATACCTATAGTATAATACTATTATACATTATATACAGGTAGGTACCCATAGTATAATATAATATTATATTATTATCTTACATCCTTACCACAGGGCACAGAGTACAGACTATTTTCTTGAAGTCTGTGTTCTTCTTCTTACTTTTTAGTTCTTACCAGCTCATGAGTCATGTGTCATGACGTCACAGAACAATTGTGTAAATGACGTGATTTAAATCACGTAGACCACTACTACAGTCGTAGAGGAAATTCTGGAGCGGCAAACGTTGCAAACGTTTGATAACGGAGAAATTCGGAACGTCCGGTTGCTAAACGGTTGCTGTAAACGTTTGCAAACATTGTAAACGCCCTAATCCAGCGTTTGGTCTGTTTCGTTCTAGTAACCATAACCGTGGTTGCCTTTGTTTATACTTTTGCCGATCGTTATCACTATTACTATCACGACTTATCACGATTTACTTTTTATGTCATACACCACGACCGCGGTTTAACAAGATACCAAGCGCTCACGAATTTCTACCTCTTCAACGTTTCAAACGTCGGTGTTTGTTCTGCAAAACGTTTGCCGCTCCAGAATTTCCTCAAAGTCTAATAATCTAAGACCGTGGTCGTGGTGGTTGAGTAGATTGCTAGTATCACTGATTATAATTTTCGAAACGTGCCCGCGGCATTATCAATATCCTTTATCATGACCGGGATAACACGATTCACAATTACATAAAATATTTCAATATTGTATTATTGTCATTTTATGGCGTATTGGCGTGCATCTCTTGGAACTCGGGATTCCGGGCACGGATTATAGTATTATAATTTAGGACGTGACAGTGACAATAGTGACGTACTATAAAAATAGTATTATATTATATTATATTATAGAATGTCTATGCTGTCACGAGTGACAGACCAATGAGCAATAAGTACTTAACTTTCTCGCAATCGTAGCCACGAGAATTTTTTTAAGTTCTTGTACTCTGGAACAGAGATTGCGTTTCGACTTTTCGAGTTGTGTTTTAATAATTGTATAATAGGCATACGTGACTTACGACGTCGAAACGATGATATTGAAAATCATATCTTCTACCATGAAGACGGTTTACACGGCGACGTGCTTAAAGATAAAGGATGACAGCAAATTTAGGCAAGTGCTTGTAAAAAATAATTCGTCTAGGTCGCAAAGAGTTGATATAACATAGCATTTGTTACTGGGATCGGAATTTTGTAGTATAGCTTTTAATTTTAAATGTATTGTATAGAAAAAATTTTAAAAATTATAATTCTGAAATATGCTTTATTATAATCTGTAATGTTCATCAATTGTAGATTAATCCCTGGAACACTTATTGCGCTTGGCATATCATACAGTACGGTAGCGGCGAAATCATTGGCTATTGACAAATTCATGGCAGACACTGTTACAGACTCACAAACATTGAAAAGTAGACCTGAAGATATGAAAACAATCATGGAACTTATGATTATGAATATACAAGTAAATAATTACAAATTTATGGAAGTTATATTTTGTAGATACACTTATTTATTAAAATATTTGGTTTTTTTCTAGGCTGAATTTTGTCGAGCACTTGAAAAAGAAGAACCAAAAGTAAAATTTATAGTAGATCGATGGGTAAGACCTGAAGGTGGTGGTGGAGTTACATGTGTAATGCAGGAAGGAGAAGTTTTTGAAAAAGCTGGTGTTAATGTTTCTGTAGTTCATGGTAATTTACCTCCCAGAGCAATCGATCAGATGAGAGCTAGGTAATTGTAAATAAAATGCATTATGTATTATTTGTATTAATATATTATTCAATGTATAATAATATTATAATCCTTCAAAAATACCTCAAACTTAAGAGGATGTCAGCACACTATTTCTTTTCGCTCTATGACCCATGTGCAACGTACAAATTTATGTTCCTGTATTGTTCCTTTTAATATTGGAGTATTCACCCATCATAAAACTTTTTAGTTAAGAACATAACCTGTGTCACTACGTTGGCTATTTTATGATATTTTAATTTTTACATAAGTTAAGAGCTTGTAAAATATGAAAATTTGAAAATGCTTATTAATTGAATATAAATTATAATACCTTAAAAAATCCAATGTAGCAACACAGGTAATGTCTTAAACTTAAAGTCTTATAATGGACATATTCACTCTAATATTGAAAGAAACATCACATGATTGGTTCTGCTAAACATAAATTTGCCATGTTGCCAGTGGGTTAGAGAGAAAACAAGTGTGCGCACCCTCTTAATGTAATTTTATGGGAGAACATTTTAAGTATGAATTTGAACATCGTAAATAATATTTAAGCATAATCAAGTTTGGCATTTTTGAGTATGGTGGTAGATTAGCTGTAAACAAAAGACAATTCTTTGAGTTACCTATGGGTTATGATTAAAAGAAAAGCTTTGATTAAGAACGAAACCACTATGATATACCGTATTATTAATACGTTAATTTTTCAATATGTAAAATACTCAATTATTATTTGAATAATGTGTATTAAATAAAATAATACTTTATGTCATTTAAAAGGCCAAAGACGTCAATATTTGGCTCATATTAGTAACTTTTAGTCTCAAATTAGAATCAAAAAGAAATCATTTCAAAGTTCTAGTCATGTTTTTAATGGTCAACTCTTAAAGTACACAGTTTTACAAAGTATAGCAACATATTTTATACTTTCTGCAGTTCTGGTCAGCGCCGTCAACCTTGAGTATTAATTATAATATTAATTTTTTCATCAAAGTTGCATACATCTATAAGCCTATACCACTAGTGGTACGCTGGTTACTGACCACCAATTGAAAAATGCTATTCTACAGTGTATTGTGTTTGTATTATTGCAGGATTTGATCAATGAAAGTATGTACTAAAGTATTATTTTACTTAGAATATTTGTGTTAGTTGTACCATTATAAATTATAAATAGTAATATAATAATATACTATCTATAATAAATGGTTGTACCTACATCTTATAGGTATATCAAATTAATGTTGTTTGGTATCCCAGTTAAACTATAGACATTTGAGTACTAGGCCCATTTTCCTTTTTGAATAGAAAATATGTATCTTCTTGTTTGTATTAGTATTTTTGTATTCATTTTTTTTTTTTTATGACAGTTGAAATCAACTAACCACATACAAAATAAATACCCAACTCTAAACGTAATTAATTCAATTTAACTATTTTTGGAATCAAGTTATAAATTAGTATCTTTTATCACATATAAAACATTTGAACAATAGATAATATATTATAAAGTTTATATATTATTATCTATGGTTAAAACAGATAAATTTTTGGTTTATTTTATAGTTTATTGTACAGAAAATAATTTGTTACCCCTGAAAGTGGACATTATAAATTATTTGAATTATAAATGATTATACAATAAACTTATCATCTTTAAGCTTTATTTGTAAATCTATTTATTTTTTTAACTTTTAGTTTATTGTATTTCAGAGGTAAAAATTTTAAAGGTGGCCAAATACTTCCATTCTTTGCAGCAGGTGTCAGTGCAGTGATACATCCGCGCAATCCTTATGTGCCTACTATACATTTTAACTATCGATACTTCGAAGTTACTCTACCTGATAATACAATAGAGGTATATTTGTAATGAAATATTATTACTTATTATCTGAGCTATGAATTTAATAATTTTGGATATCGCTGAATTCGATTCTTATTTTTCAAGATAAGTGAAATACAAATTTGATAATTTATATGAAATTACGTTTTGAATGTTTTTGATATTTTAGACTTGCATAAAATATAACTGCACACAAGTTTACAAGTATTTATTGTTTAAATAATTTTCTTGCCTATTCAAGAGAAAAAATTATAAATTTTTTTGTTTTATACCAATTGGTTATTCTACTCTTGATATTTTATTATAAAAAGTTTATCAGTTTTAAATATTACTATAAACAAATTCATAATATAATTTATTAGTATACCTTGTAAGCTATAAATATAATTGTGAATTAATATAGATTACATTTATTTTTCAGAATTTCGGATAGTTTTTTTAAACTTTTGTGCATACTTCTTGGTATTTTAGTGCTTCAAATTCACATCCTAGCTGATTATAATCTATGTTTCTCTAAAGTTATAATTAGTTTATTAATTGTCATAATATAATTAAATCATTAAGTATACATTAAGTATAATAGTTTTCTAATTTGTGTTAATTATTACAGTGGTGGTTTGGTGGAGGTACTGATTTAACTCCTTATTATCTGAATGAAGAAGATGCCGTCCATTTTCATCGTTCATTAAAAAATGCTTGTGATCAACATGACAAAACATACTATCCTAGATTTAAACGTTGGTGTGATGACTATTTTAATATACCACATAGAGGTGAACGAAGAGGAGTAGGTGGTATATTTTTTGACGATTTGGACACTCCATCTACATTTAGTTTTGTAAAGAGTTGCGCTCAAGCAGTTATCCCTTCATATCTACCATTAGGTAATTAGTTTTTAACTATGAAATTGTGATAGAATATTTAATATAACCATATTTTCATCATAGTTCAAAAGCACAAAAACGATTTGTATAATGACAAAGAAAGAGAATGGCAATTGCTAAGACGAGGGCGGTATGTTGAATTCAATTTGATATATGACAGAGGTACAAAATTCGGTCTCTACACGCCTGGAGCTAGATATGAAAGTATACTTATGTCACTTCCCTTGAGTGCGGTAAGTTTGTAACATTTTATTGTCTTCGATTTCTTGTTAATTAATAATATCTAAAATAGTAAAATTTTAAAGTGTCTTTTTTTAATAATTTTTATTAGATAAATACAACAATTTTAAAGTATTTAATTAATGATGTATTAGGCACAGTATATATTATAAATTTAAATTTGTTAAGAGAACACTACACCCGCATGTGTTGTCTTCGTCTTACAAACGCACAACATATCAAAATGTATGTTCTGAATAGTCCATTTAACTCTGTTATGTTTAATATTAAAGTGAATTGTCGTGATATCAAATTTTCAAGTAAGAATATTATCTCGTGAATTTCATAGCTTTTTAGTATATTTTAATTTTAAAGGGAGTTATGCTCATTTTAAAATGTACAAATAATTTAACATTTTTGAATTCTCATAACTCGTTTTAAAATTAAAATATAAAAAAAACCTACGTGATTCACTAGATAATATTCTTACTGAAAAATTGTATAACATGAAAATTCACTTCACTCTAATATTTAACATGACACAGTTAAATGGATTATTCAGAATGTACATTTTGGTTTGTTATGCGTTTGTAAGATGGAGCCGATGGAGGCAACGCATGTGGGTGTAGGGTCCTCTTAATTTTATACTGATTAACATATAATTATGCTAATACATGAATTTCAAAGTACATAAATAAATACTAAATAGTGATTAATATTTAAAAATTTGGTGTAGATTAAATTTGTATAACATTGTACATCAATATAAAATAGTTAATCTATAAATATGTTATATTTATATTATAAATTCATTAAAATTTGTTATTTTATTTATTTTATTATAGAACTGGAAGTATATGCACAATCCAGATCCTGACAGTAGAGAAGGAAAATTAACAGAAGTTCTAAAAAATCCAAAAGATTGGATTAAAATTGAATAAAATAACCTTATGAGTTAAATTTAAATGAATTAATATTGTAGAGAATATCATTTTAAAATTTAAAATTTGAATCAATTCAGAAGGAGCATATTATTAGCTGATGAATAGTATTTCAAATTCGTTTTTCTGTATTATTATTTTATGATTGTATTTTTATATTGTTACTATAGTTAAGTATATAATATATATTAATATTGTTAATAATGAGGGTGTTTTAAAAATCAAATATAAGTATATTTTTTTAGGTTATAACTTATAAGTTATTAATTATTACACTTTTGGTGTAAAGTAATTTTGTTATAATTATTTTTTTTAAGAAGAAATCCATTACATTATATTTTTCAAAGTGTTGAAACCACTATTTAAGCCAAACAAGACACAACATTTAACTTAAAAATAAAATCAGATAAAGGGTCCTACTGTGAAACTAATTATCCTGTGCTACAATATGTATATTGTCTATCGTTCAATGTATAATATTATGTAACTACGGACTACTAAAATTATGAAAAATACCTTTTTACATTTCAAACCCAAAAACATTTTTATTTAGTAATTACAAACCAAAATTAATAAATACATGTTAAGTTTCAAGTAGTATCTTCTTTTTACATTTTATTTTAGTCCAAAAACAAGTTATTGAAAATATCATCATCAGCTGGATCCATTTCATTATCTAGGTCCATAGGTTTATCATCAGTGCTTGCAAACAAGTCATCCATGATATTTTCACCAATTATTGTGTCTTCAAGGCCATGCTTATTTTCCAAGACGAAAGTCATAACAATATCATCACACTTAATTGTATTAACTTTGTTTCGATCAAATTGATCACGAACCTTCATAGATTCTAATAACTTCCCTTTATGTTCCAACCATTTTGAATATAAATACACAATATCTTCATCTCCTATAAAAAAAATATTTCTACAGATTTACTTGAATAATATATCATTATAACAACGGAATTTGTTATCTTTATTGTGAGTTTAAATAATAGGTACATTTCCTGTTACATTTACTATAACAGAACTCTTCTTGTATACTACCATGTATGTAAATTTTGTATTTTACAAATTACATTCATCTTTTAACTTAAAATATTATGTATACATATAGATGAGATGACAATAATATTTTATCTATCGTAGTTATTTCAACACTTAAATCTTAGTTTATTTTTAAAACGTACCTATACAGTCATATAGATAAATAAGAAAAATAAAGCAATATACAATGAATATAAATTATATATTACATTTATTTTAAAATTTTTATATTGTTATGGTTCACTAGTTTTACGTCCCAGATTTGTAATTTAAATTTACCAGCATTATATGTAAGTGCCTTTTTGAATGCAGCTTCGCAGTCCTCTTCTTTATTTAACTTACTCAAAACTGTAGCTTTAAGTAACAATATTTTACCTATGAGGATTCGTCGCAAAGTTATACTTTGTTCTTCACCGTCACTAGGTTCCGTTGCACAATCAAAACTGATTTTGGCGTACAGACAATTGAAAGACCTTGAATTAGAAATATTATAAAAATAATATCCATACAATTAGCGATTAGGAAGAGGAAATCTACTTGTTTAGTGCTTCCAAAACTATATCAGTATTTTTATTGAAACCTGTTTCTGCCAATAACATAGTTCCAACTACATTAAAATTGTAATCATTGAGTTCATCGGCCCAGAATGAACCACTCTTCCACATGCTGTATTCTTCAATTAAGGATTGGCACAGTTTAAAGGCTTCTTCTGGTTTACGAGCTTTTAACAGAGCTACAGCCGCTTCGTGTTTAAGGATAAACATTGGTGGAATTGTTACCAAGTCAGAAACGTATTGATCAACCTCGTCAAATTTTAAAAGACTTAAATAAGTAGAAGCTGCTAGATTATAACTCTAAAAAAATAATTTAAAATTATCAGTATGACGTATCTGTGGATAAATACAACAATTTAAAAGAAAACATACTGTATGTTCATATTTTTTTTTTGCTGCCAAGTAAAGTAATTGCCGTTTAGTCAAATCCGGTTGAGGGTGTAAAATAATAAGTACCTTTGTAGTATAACTGTTGGATAATTCTTCGTACCCTCTGTGTCGTCCATCAAAATCTCCCTAAACAGCAATTTTAGATTATAACATAATATGTATTTTAAATATTGTGATTACCTTAATAGCTTGTTCCAACACCACCATTTGCATAAACTGCATGTCATTCATTTCGTAATGCTGTGACATGTAATAAGCCATTATATTATTAAACTCTGTTTCTTTTAATTTCTCTAATGACTGCAACGCCAAACCACTATTACCCATTTTTGAATGTGTTCTTCCAAGCAATAAATAACACCTTGATTTAATAAAAGGTTCCATCAGACATTCAACCATTTGTGATAAATAGCATAATGTAATTTCAAGCTCTTCTAAATTGAAACTTGCAAGAGCCTTTAAATAGCACATCAAACAAAAAAATTCATCATTTTGATCCAAGTATTGGTCCATTGTGTTCAGTGTAGACAAGGCTTGTAGATGTTGATTTTCCAAAATGTGTCTTATACACAAGGACACATGCCCATTAATAATTATTGTTTTGATGTGCTCTGTATCCAGAAAAACATTGATTTTTGAAAGTCCTAGTTTAAAACAGTTAGCAACATGCGTTGGTTTTTTAAGTTTAAAAGCACACATTATAGTTTTGACTTGATCTATCAATTCCGTCGTAAAATGTACTAAAAGTGAAGTAAAACTACGCTGAGACAAAAAAATTAAAAGTAATATCTGTGAGATTTCCAAACATTGAACAACCAGTATTGGCTCTAAACCCAAAAACCCATTGGACAGGCATTCAAGGCTATTAAGTATATCTTGTTCGTTGCCGACATGTGATCTTAAATTTACAGTACTTTTTCCGTTTTCGTGTAATACTGAAAATGGTTAGCGTTTTATTGATTAGTGAATTACGAATATTTGTTGTAAAATACCAACCTTCATGCAAGGATTCATTGACTAATGTCATTATTTTATTATAACAATAATCGGGAATGTCAGCTGGTTTCAACCAGTACCAATGCAAAGTATTATAAACAAAATTGATCCGCAGTTCCAATGGAATATGTTTCTCATATAAATACAGTTGAGACATACTTATGAATTCAGCCATCTTGCCAACATATTCAGCACTAATTTCTGGTAAAATCCTCTATCCAAAACAGTTAAATAAATCCAAAATATATTCAAATTGTACTCAAATTTCAATATGCAAAGTTCATACATACCAGAGAATTGCAAACAAGTAAATTGTTTCTAAGTATGATAAACTCAACTTCGTCTTGTATAGTAATTTTTTGTAAATGACAATTATCAATATGCAATTGGATAAGGTCGCAACAATCTGTAAACTTTCCTCTTCTGAATAAATCACACGATGATGATACAACATAGTTTATATTCATTTTTTTAATCAATTTGAATGAATCTATGAAATTCTATAAAACTAACAAAATATTATTTTAAATACACATACACCTATGTGGAATATAAAATATTAAAACCGTTAACATAACAGTTGTAAGTACACGAATATATTAACTAAAACTTTAAATTGTATAAACTATAAACCTATCATTATAATTTATAAATATAACTTACAATTATTACTGTGTTCAGTGTTGAATTTTGAATATTGAATGAATACGTCATAAATAAATTATATTTTAAGATTATAAATTATAATAATATAATCTGTAATCAAGTATAAAAATTAGCGGTAAAAATGGTTATCTACCATTCAAAATGATAATAATTACTGATAAGATAACATTCAAATAATTACCGCTTGAATTTAAATATTATAATCATTATTTACTAGATATACCCTTTTTTACTTTTTTTAACATACAGGATGTAACAGAAAGATCGGACCAAAAAAAAAATACTAAAAAAAAAATACTTAATATGTTTTAAAATGCTATAAAATAAACTACTTAACTTAGATAAATATTTTTACCATCAAAATTGTTTTTATAATCAGTTTTACGAATAGTCTATTTTGAATTTTTCCATACAAATGTTAATCAATTCTTTTTATACCATACGTGTAACTAGTGTAACCATAATTTATATATTAAAAAAAAGTAAAAATATTGATTAAACGTTAGAACAAAAGTTATTTCATCTGTCAGGTCTTCCTGTTAACCCTGTATACAAGTGTTTTAACGTTAAAGGGTAGCCAGTAAATAGACTGTTGAGTATTGTTCCACTTTATATTTAACATTGAAATATATATCATCATGGTAATTGGTATTCTTGAATTCTGTGAATTCTTTTGGTTTTCCCAGACGCTTTTCAAAACTACTATGAATTTTCAAATTTTACATCTAAAATTTCGTACCAATTAAATTAATTTTCCTATCAAAAAAGGAATAAAAGATGCTCAAGTTGAAAACCTATGCATTATTTATACTAGAAAAAATGTTTACAGACAAATCATTATTTAGTGTCTTACCTGCACTCACACAGTTAGTAATTAGTATTGTTGCCAGAGTGCTATTATTTTAATACCGAAAATTATAATAACTACATTAACACATAGATCTACCTTTTATAGTTAGATCCTATTATGTCTATACATTAACAACGATTTGGCGATATCATGAGTTTGAATGACCTTGGTCGGTCAAATTGGCTAATATTTAGTAAATCTCTGTTAGTTTTGACTATTTTTGTATTTCATCGCGTTATGATGATTCAGGAATCAGGGGCACCATAATTAATTTACCCCTAGTCCCGAAAATCTTTGGGACCGCTCTGGTGAGTGACCGTATATTTGGATTAAGTTGTAACCCAAATGCCCAAATAATAATAACACAGTCGCATAGAGATAAATCATAGGTACTTAAGTACCTACTAATAAAAATTAATGTTCTTCTACAGACAACAATAACAATTTATTGAACTATTAATTTTGTATTTGATTCATTTATACATAATAGGTAGGTAACTACTATAATAAGGTATGAGTTTTTAATTATTATAAGTAGATTATATAAATCATTTTTACAAAAAAATTATATGTTCATTATATAATTAGAATTAAATAATAAAAAAATAAAATTAATACAAAATCAGTATCTATTAGGTATACAGTTATTGATTAAATAGAAACATTTATATGATTTTTACATATAGGCGTTCATACTTCATTGTATGAATCGAATAAAAAATAATATATTAACAATACCTACTTATAAATAAATACTTAAATATAACATGTCTACCCCTCGATATCACCGCCGTACACAACAGCTCCTCAGTCTCCATTATTAAATCAGTTTTATATAACTTAATTAATTCTTCCGGTTTCTTCATTTAGTCATTCTTTCATAGTTTCGTATAATTATCCTCCTTCTTACTTCCTTACATAAATGTAATTAGGTACTTATAAAAAAAAAAGTATATAAATTTTAATTTTTCAATAAAATTAAAAAATAAATTAGGTACATTGCGTATGTAGGTAATTAAATGTGTGTCTTCACAAAATAATGAATCTGTATATAATATGAATAACCTATTATACTTATATGATATAAAATATTTTAAAAGCTATGATAATTTTAATATATCGGTAGGTATGTAATGTGTCGTTAAATAATAGGTAGAACATATTATTATGGGTTTGCACCTAATAATAATATAATATATAATAGTAAGTATTGTTGATTTTTTTTCAAGATTGTCAGTTATCAATGATAAAAATATAAATTGTTGTCAATTTTTATTTTATTGACTTAAACAACGTCTAGGTGTAAAAATAGCAGAAAATGGAGATGGAGAAATAGTGACACCATCTTGAGGCTTATCTGGCAATTGGGCTCCTTGGGGTATTCGTATTTCAAAATGTTGTATTAATTTGGCGATGAACATAAATATATTGGTCTTAGCCAATATCTCGCCTAAACACCTTCGTCTACCTTCAATTTAAAAATTCAAAACCACCCAATAAATTATTTGTTGATATATTAATGACGATATTAAATATTTATAATTTATACTAACCGACGCCAAACGGCATAAACCAACTGTCATTTATAATTTTTCCTGTACTGTCCAAAAATCTTTCCGGTCGAAATACCTCAGGATCGCCCCAATGCTGTTCATCCATATGAACACTCCATATACTCGCCAATACTAATGTATCCTATAAATTGTTTTTTACAATAATTATTTCTGTTACTTACAAAATATATTTAACAACAGAGCTATCATACTTTTGGTATTGTGTATTCTTGTAGGCTGGTTTTTCTAATAGTTCTATGAGCGATTGCTAACGGAGCCACGTTACTATGTCTCTGAACCTCCATTAATACGGCTTCAAGATAATTCAACCTATTTATAATTACAATTGTGTTTTAAAAAAAACCCTATTATTTAGATTAATTATGTAAGTCTTTAGCTCTGTACCTGTTTTTATCTGCAAGATGAATTTCTCGGTCTCCAACTACTGCATCTAATTCTGCATGTACTTTGGCTTGTATATCTTGATGTTTAAGGAGAAGTAAAATAACGAATGATAACATACTGCTTGTAGTTTCTGAGCCAGCTAAGAATAAATCCAATAAAATAACAAGAAGCTGTTCTTCCGAAAAAGACCCCGGAGATTCTTTATTTTTTTCAATTTCCTTTAAAAATGCACTTATAAAATCATCTTCCTGATCATTTGGTCTGCATTTGTGTTCTTCAACTGATTCCTATTGGACATTTCATACAGTTAAATTAATAAAATAAAAATGTCTGACTAGTTTTAAATTACTTTTAAGAATGTATAGAACTCATTTATTATCTGTTTGAGGTATTTGTATCCAGAACATTTAGGCGCTAAAAACCGAATGAATGGCATCTGGTTTAATATTCCTCCTGACATATCTAACATTCTGAAACTAACGTGTACTAATTCCATAAGTCTTGCAAGTCTAGAGTCATTCAACGCAAATCTATGACCGGCTAACATTGCCCAAAGACCGTTCAAAACTGATACGTCGAATAAACCATACACTTCAATTGGTTTACCATTCTAAAAAGAAATTTAACACAGTGGTTATAATCTTTTTTTAATTTGTAAAAATGTATTGATACACATACCTCACATTTTCTCGATATGTCTAACATAAGATCGTTAACTTCTTCGATTATAATTCTTTCCATTAAATCACCACCAAATCCCATTTTTCGTAAATGTTGCATGCAAAATTTTCTTTGTTCTGTCCACGTTGGTCCATCCACAAATACTATGCCTTATTTTTAAATTTTTTAAATATAATATTTAAAATTGTAAATATTTTGTTTTGTTAAACTTACCTAATCTTTTATAAAAAGCTCGGAATCTGAAAAAAAATCCATCGGGTCGGCCATCAAAGTCGTCTTTGCACAATACTTGACGTACTGCATCATATCCAGAAACAACCACTGCTTCTATTCGACCAAGTTTAACAGAAAACACTTGACCGTAACATTTAGCCAAATGGTCCCAAACCAAATGGTAGAATCCTAATTCATTCCTGAGCTTTCGAATTTCAAGATAGTTTCCAAGCAAAGGAACCCTTGTAGGGCCTGTAAACATTAATATTGTCTTAGTTTATTTATTTAATAGTAATTATTTTATTATTTACAATTTTGTTCTTATGTTCTATATTTATTTTTTAATAAAATTATACCAAATATCAGTTATATACTAATATCACTTGATATATAATTTTATAAATGTTATTAAACCATCTGAAAAAAAAATAACTTCTTTACAAATATGATTATGTTTAGTAGATATACATTATAAAAAGCACATATCATTTACTCGGGAATTACTATTAATAAGTCACTATATACCTATTTCTACAAAACTTTCAAGTGCTGAAGTGCATATTTGTCTATGTCATTGAAGTTTACCCAAAATAATAATACTATTTAAAATTAGTTTAATTCAATAGATATAATAAAACAGTGTAAAAGTTAGATACCAAAAACTTAAAATATGTCATTGAATTTAAAATGTCAGGTTTTAATATTCTGAATAGTGATGAGAGCCGAGATGTGATATTAAAATAGCATGTATATTCAATATTGTTATTTAATTTAGTCTAGGGCTACGATTTCTATGCATTTTTAATGTCCACGATTTGGATTATTCTTGATTAAATAGAACAACTTTCTTTTGCATTTTATTTGTGAATATTTCGATTAATGAAAATCTTATGAATTTTAAATGGTATTTATTTAATAAACGTCAATAATTATAGGGTTATTTGTCCAACTGTCGTAAATTTACTAGGTATCTAATTTTATTTTAGTCAGAACGCCGATAGGAGTACCTATAGGTACCTATAGTATTTTTGATATTCATTATTACAAGTTTTAGTCAATATAAATCCATTCTTAGTTCCGACCTCCGCGGGTCTGTCGGTGACACTCGAATTGCCTCCAAAATTTAGGTAGGTGATCTTTTTTTACTCGAATTGCCTGCGGGTGTTTTCAGAGGCAATTATTCTAGTATACCCAAACTGTCTACTGGTACTCGAATTGCCTCCCATAACATACCTGGATTATTAATTAATATATCGATAGTTGTACGTGTAAAACCGATTATTATATTATTCAGCAATGTTCAAGAATAAAATGTTTACATACATACACTATTTCAAAGACCGATTCATTTTTCGGATGCAATAATCTTAACCTCAATTAGTGATTATCAGTTAATGATTACTGATGATTGTATAACAGAATGATATTTCGTTATTATTATTTTTAATATTATTAATTATTACTGCTGTGTTAGTCTATTTATTAAAATATTTATTTTATGCAAACTTAAGTTTTTGACTGTATAACTGAATGATATTTGATCTAAATTATGTTTGATATATTATTTTATAAATCGATGAATTATAGCTATCTCAAGCGATTCCAGTACAAGAGTAGGTAAGTGGTATAATAGTGACCCTCTTAGGAGGCAATTCGAGTAAATAATATTTTTGAAATCGGGACGTAATTCGGGTAAACTTTTAAAAAAAAAATTCACTGGAGGCAATTCGTGAGCGGCCGGTCTGTCACTCGTGTTTCAAAATTTGAAAGAACATAATATTATTACAGCAATATTCTATGACTATATGTAATAATAACTACTTATAATAAATAATAATTATATACAAATAATAATTTTAGTATAGTTAATAAAAAATTAATTATTAATTGGTAGTTTCTGATTTTTATGTAAAATATAGTTAATTTTTTGTTGCATATAAATCCTAGTCCTAGTTATTACTTATTAGTTATTACATTAACATGTTATATTTATATAATTATATCGGTATTCTGTAGGTAGTCTGGTAGGTACTACGTAGGCAATAATAGTGTATATATACAATATACGTGTAACATGTAGGTATACTATATATTTATATATTTTATTGTAGTTTAAAAACTGCGATCTCGGGAGGAGTGAGTGCACTTCTTTGGATCTGGTTAAGGTTCTATATTAGTATACTACTATAATACTATTATAGTGATCGATAAAATATCTATATTTATTCAAAATTGACAATGAAGCTTAAAAGAAAAGAATTAAATTCACTTCTTAGTTCTTGGTTTAGATTTGTTTAAGTGTGTATATAGATTATAGGTATAAAAATACACTATTGAAAACATTATATTTATTCCGACCACATCATGTGGTAAAGAACATTAAGTACCCAACGTTTAAATTTACACTTACTATTTACATTTTATTAAAATAAATTATTACAAAATGGAATCTACAACGGAGTCAATGACTGTTGAAGCCTGAAGGCAATGAAAACTTGTAGGCCTCTAACATAATGCTTATCTTTAGGTACGACCGTTAGACGAAAGAAAATAACATACACATTATTTGTTATCGAGTACCTGCGATCACCCAACATAATGTATACATATTGTTTCTTTTAGAAAATAAATGAGGTAGGGTTAAACATCCTCTTTACACCTGACCTATCTCAAGATCATAACTAGTTTCTAGGTCAACGGTTTTTTTCCTTTTTCGTCTTCCCTAAATTAATGATTTCCAAACAATACACCCCTATAGATGCCAGCCACCTGCAGGTGCATTGTTGCCTGTTGGTATGCATATTATAATATTAAAATTCATTCATTTTATTTTAAACGAGTAGCACCCACACGATTTACGGTATTCTTTGGTACATATATTTTATTTAATAGGAACCTATATGACCCTATGTGGCTTGTAATATGAAACGAATCAATAAAAAAATCATTACCATAAGAAAGTTAGGCCTCTTCTGACACTGTTGACCTTGAATATGATTTTCTACGTATTAACAGTTCGACATCTTAAAAATTGTCGAATTAATTTGAATCTAATACCGGGTATGTGAGTATTACCTATATATTTGTTGGAAACCAAAAATTATGACGCACAATGTACATGTGTTTTATACAAAAAATATTTTCAATCATAATTTATTTACAAAAATTCACGAGGAGATTTTTGAGTGAAAGACAAATAAACATAATGAGTAAGGCTTATAATAAAATTCAGTTTTAATTATTTGTCAATTAAAACTAATATATTATATTCTTAACAAAAAAACTAAGTAACTATTAAAAATATATTATTTTTTTATTTGTAAGTAACCTACAAATTATTAAAATATAATAAAATAAATAAATAGTTTAATGATTAAGAATTAAGAGATCAATATTATTTTTAATTAAAAATCGTTAGAATATGACTAGTACATTTAATAGTAGAATACATTTAAATAAAACTACTGATGGATTATACAATTTTAATGTACAGTAAGTACTTTGGCTAAAGACATCTATTATAGTTTAATTTATTATAATATATTCAGTAGAATTCGTAAATAGATACCTACATTAAGTAATTAAAATCTTAGAAAATTAAATTGACAAAGATAATATGCTTTAAATGCCTACCTATTGGCTATTGATCATTCTAAAATATATCCAATAATAATAATATACTATTATATATTATATATTATTGTTATATGAGTAGGTAGGTAGCTAAAAAGTATACAACTATATAAACATACTGCATTTAAATATCACATAAATAATAAAAACTTTAAATAATATTTTAACTATTTATTATTTTACACAGTATTGTATATAATATTAAATCTATTAAATATAATAATAATAATTTAAATAAGTCTTACCTATTGGATATTTATGAGGTGTAATGATATCTAAGATACAAACAATAATAAAAACAGAAATGACTGCGGCTACGAAAAACATTTTACACTGACGATTAAAATATTATTAAACGACGTAGGTAGGTAGTGTTTTCTGCAGCGTGTCTATACACCGAAAGAATGGATTGAGAGAGAGATGTTGACTGGCATCCAGTTCATTTTTTTAAAAAACTATATTACTTGGAAGGGGTCTTCCGTTTATTTCCCTTTATTTGTTCCTTTATCTACGATTCTCTCTGTATTTTGGCGATCTTATCCAAAACCATTCACAAATAAATAGAAATACTTTTTGTTGGACACATAATTTACATAACATAACAAATTATATTTATTTATATGTAATATGTATGTATGTATATACATATATAAATATAGGTATTATATGAATAATTTGAAAAATGAAACTATTTCGATTTTTAACCAAAAACATTGATTCATCTGTAAACATAAATTATCATACTAAGTGAATAAAATATATTATTGAACAATAGTATTATATATATATTTGTATTTACTATTTACAGTCATATCTATTTCAGATTTACACAATTATATACATGTTATAAACATACTTACAACCTACTAAGGATTATTTTTAAGTGAACAATTGTATATTTATATTTGTTTATTTTATATTGACGCATCTCTAAAGAAATGCTAGGGCTATCCTTCAAGCATCCCAAGTTTAATTTTAGCACTCCCAACTGTTAAAAAATAAGAACATTTTTTTTCCTATTATTATCAGTTTATCACTACTTTATTGATTATATAATTATATAATGTCTACATCTTAAGATTCATAATATTATTAGAATATATCATTAAAGCTATTAGTAAAATGTTAGGCATTACACAAGCAGTCTATTATAATTCTATTATAATTTTCCCTTTTCTATCGTTATAGTTTCTTAAGGTTTTTGTTGTTTCAACGACAGTTTATATATTTTTAGTTTTATATTTCAAAGCAGAATATTTTTAGTGAGTTCTGTATAACCTTTGGTATACCTAACGTATAAATTAAAAGTTATAAGTATTTACAATTTAGATAAGTGGAGTAGAGTGTCACAGAAACACATAACCTGTAAAATGATGGCCCACTATACTCCACTCTGATATCAACTGACAACTTTAATTACGTTTAACTTACTTATAAAGTTATAACAATCAACTTATAACTTATAACTAATTTTTACTTCATTAAACGTTAAAATGTACTGTTTCGAAAATTGATTTTTATATAAGCACTGAAATCCTATATTAAATTATTGAAAAATAGTGGGCAAATGAGTAATCGCTCTGCTGTACAGATGGTGTCTAATCAGTGCCGTAACCAGAGAGCCAAAGC